GGTTGAGGGCTGCTCTTTCCATGCTGCGCGTTCTTAAAATCTCATGGGACTTAGTAAGTAAGGTTATAAGATAGGTTATAATTAGGATAACCCCATTTAGGGGACTTATAACCCCATTCATAGCCTACTTACTAAGTCCCATGATCCTTGAAGTTTTGTAAAGAGACAAGGCTTCTGCTTAGCAGCTGCCCATCGGGGAATGCCAAGGAGTTTGTGGCATTTTGCCTGGGCTTTGGAGGCCTTGGGAATTCCCAAGCAAGGAACCCCTCCATCATAGTCTACATACCCGCAGCTAAATTTACGGGCTCTATGAAGGGTACCTTGAAGGGTGCTGGTTGGGAGACTGTATGAGAGCCTATGGATTGAAGGCCCCATACAATCGATGAATTCTTGGGGCTGCGGGGTACACACGCCACAGTAAAAGGCAAAACGCAAACATGAAACAGTGATACATGATACGAGTAAAATGGCAGCAATCGAATATCAACATCTTGGCGCACTTTGATAGAAGCCGCAAAACTACCAAATACTATTCCTAAAGGTTCCTGAATACATCCTTATGGCATAGCATCAGACCCTGAACCCTATTCTAATTACCTAGCGGCCCTATATTGCAACCCTGAAGCCCGACGGCTGAACCCTAGACTCTGGACCCTAAGCCTATCCCCAAACCTTCAATTTAGGGGCCCATGGCTTGGTGGCATATCGTACTACGAATATATGTGGGTAGTTCTTTAACTTAGGGTACTTTGAGGGTCCTTTAATACGCTATCCGTAACATTTTGGGAACCTCGAAAGCCACCCTACTTTAGAGAACGACATATATATATATATATACACATATATTATATACATACATATACACATTAATTGTGCCATATGCATACATACATATACATATATATATATATATATACAAGTACATATGTATTCATGGATGGTGAGGGTGTTTGGAAAAAACCGATACTTCCCAAATCCAGACGCGCTCCGAAGCCCATCGGACCCGAGCCAGGTGCACGGGCACGAAGAGTCGCAGCTCTGAAACCGAGGTTTTGGAACAATACGGTTTAGAGCTTAGGGTTTAGGGTTTAGGAATTTAGGTTTTAAGGGTTCAGGGGTTTAGGGTTTAGGGTTTGGGGGGTTACGGGTTTAGGGTTGAGGGCTTTAGGGTTGAGGGTGTAGGGCTTTAGGGTTTAGGAATTTAGGTTTCGGGGTTTAGGGATTTAGGTTTTGGGTTTTAGGGATTCAGGGTTTTAGTGATTTAGGGCTTTAGGGTTTAGGGCTTTAGGGTTTAGGGATTAGGGCTTTAGGGCTTAAGAATTTTTTTACTGGGTTTAGGGATTTAGGGTTTTGGTAAGGGCCCCTTAATTTAATAGAGTCCTTAATGGTGGGTATTTGGGGTACGTTGCAGGGTAGTTGGGGGGGGGGGGGGTCGAGGAAGACAGGGGCCGAGCACTGTTCTTTTGCTATATCTAGAACAAAAGATCTCGGAATGAGAAACAGTAACTGTTTAGGCGTGCTTTGTCTTTGGGGGGTTTTGAAATTCTTTGGGGGTCTTATACTACATGAAAAACGAAAGATCTGAGAAACAATACTTGTAACTTGTAATTACTTGGAGGGGCAGGGGACGTAGCTTATAAGTAGAGTTATAAGTACCCTAAATGGAGTTACCCAATTATAACCCTACTTATAAACGGCTTACCAAGTCCCCTGCCCCTCCAAGTAGTCAGGCTTCTATAGCACACCCCTTGGACTCGGGGCTTGGGATTCAGGGTGTAAGGTTGAGGGCTTTTTAACAAGGAGCCGCATTGGTCATGATTTCGGCCCCTGTATCAAATCACAACAGTGCGACTTTGAGCCTATTGCTTGAGGTTCGATGTCTGGACCGTCGGTGTTGGGAATATTGCTTTACTGTGTGTGTGCGCGCGCGAATGTGTTGTTCTCTTGTTGGTTCTCTCTCTTTGGCTTCCAGGCTCTTTTAGTTTTGTTGTGTGGTTGTGTTTGTGTTTGCCTCATTTTGGCCCTAGGTCGAGAGTACGTTATAGCAAAGCTTATCAACGAGCACTATCATACGAAGCACGTTGTAGCACAGCATACTGTTGTATAACTCATTACATTATTCTATCTTGCCGAATATGCTTGAATGGTATCTGTAGCTTCTTGTTCCAAAACATCAGGGACTGGTGGGCCCCACTGGCAGTACAGCGATCACTTCAGCGGCGCTCACTGCTTGAACTCCTGCGCCTGGTGGTAAGGGTGACCTTAACCCCCAAAACCTACCTGTTTCGATATCCTTAATCTGCTTTCCTTATATAAGGCCTTAAAAGTCAGGGTTAAGGTAAGGCCAAGGTTTTTTTGTTGAGGGTCCCAGGTTTAGGGTTGAAGCTGCAGGGGTTAAGGCTTAGCGTTTAATGTTGGCGACGCCACCTGGGGCATTTTGGCTAATTTCCGTTTCTCGTGGTTGGCGTCCGCTTGCTTCACTATCTCAAGCCCGTATCTGGATTTTTCGGTGACAGCTTCTTGAGCACGAATGCTTAGGGATGTCTAGGGTTTAGGGTTTTAGGGATCTTTAGGGTTTGGCGTTTGGGAACTCCGGGGCATGAGCCAACAGCAACGAACACCGCAGGAAAAGAAGCAGTCGACCCATAGGGTTGGACCCAGTAATTACTGTTGATGATATAAATCCTGCATTTCCTTTAAGGACCCTAAACTATGGGAATTATGGTATACTCCTTATGATGGGTAATGCAGGATTTATATCATCAACCGTTAGGGGTCCACTTAGACTTCATTTTATAAAGGGCTCCAGAAGAGGTGTACAGGGTATGCTAAGGGTTTTAGAGTCCAAAGGACCCAATAAGTGGCTACTTAGGTTTCGTATTGTAGGTGCTATTTGGGAGAGTATACAATTATTGGGTACTTTGACCCTCCTAAATCCTAAACCCTGAGATTATTAGGTTCGACCAACGGCCTGGCAGGAAGACGTCAGATTGCAATGCGGTCATCTTCGAAGAAGAGATCCTGCGTGGGACGCATTACTGTCAACGGCCCGCAACCCTAAGTTAGGGTTTCGAGGAGATCGGGCTTATTTAGAGCTTGTGGCTATGAGCTTAGAGTATTGTTGTTTGGTGTGTGCTACCAGAGGATCAGATGTTCATGGGCTTGAGAGCTTGGGATCTATGGTTTAGGTTTGGCGTCAAAGGGGCTGTGGCTGAGACGGTCGAGGGTTTAGAGTGGAAAAGGTGGGCTTGAACGGCTGAAGGTTTAGCCTTCAAGGGTTTAGAGTTTAAGGTTTAGGGCCTGTTGAAGCCTCCGACGTTGCTTGCCCTACGCCCTAAACCCTTTCAACCCTAAACCCTATAAACCCTAAACCACAAACCCTAAAGCCTATAAACCCTAAACCCTGAACCCTAAATCCTAGACCCTAAACCCTAAACCCAATAAACCCTGAACCCTATAAACCCAAAACCTAAACCCAAAACCCTAAACCCTAAGCCCTAAACCGCCGGACTGCTCTTCCCCCTACCCGCAACCGCCTTCAAAGAGCGGGTACTGTAGGGTTTGCGGTTGAGGGGTTTAGGGCTTAAGGATGTTTAAGGTTTAGGGTTTAATGTTTAGGGTTTCGGGGTTTAGGGTTGAAGGTTGGCGAGTAGAGGATCTTTTTGATGAAAGCAAGGTGGGGTTTGCAGATTACTTAGGATTCCGGGGCTCAGGAGCACCACACCTCGCCAGGAAAGCCCTGGATGAAAATGCCAGATTACTTACGATACTGATGCGAGGTTCGACCAGAATGCCAATATCATGTACAACTGTATAACACATGTTCACACAATGTGGGAAAAACATTCTACAGACACCATGCCACGCCGCCCTAAGCCCAAAATCCCAAAACCTAAAGCCTAAATCCTAATCCTTAGAAAAAATTAGAAATCCTAAACTCTAAGTCCTAAAACCCTAAACCCAAAACCCTAAAACCTAAACCCTAAAATGTAGAACTTAGGTCTGAAACCGCAACACATAAGCCTCAAAATCTAGCTCCGAATTTCGGCAACCGAATACCCGGGAACTTTAAATTTATTGGCCTTATATATTAACTCTATCTTAGAAAGTTTGAACTTTTTGGGGCCCTGTCCTAAATCCTAAAACCTGGAAACCGAAGACCTATGTTCTAAATCCTAACCATCCCTCGTGCCAAGGGGCATTCTCGGATTTCGGCGGCGATGTCGTTGAGTCGCCTGGGCAGAAACGTAGCCATCCCGTTAAGGCTTAGGGCTTTCGAACTTGAAACTTTCGATCACGGTGTAGTTGCTACTTAAAGGCTCATGGGAACGTAGTAAGTAAGGTTGTAAGGTAGGTTATAATTAGGATAACCCCACTTAGGGGACTTATAACCCCAATTATAACCTACTTACTAAGTCCCATGATCCTTTGAGTAGGGTTTTAAGATGTCGACTCCAAGTCTGACCCGACACTGGTTTTCTTAGGGCTTCAGCTGGCAGACTGGTTCCCAAGTCTTCGTATACTATAAAACGCCGGGCTCGGAGGAATCACTAGACTTCCCTTGGGTTAGTAGGGAATGGAGGAATGGGGTACCATTATAATACAACTACTATTACTACCATTCTTCCATTCCCTACAAACCAAAGGTAAGTAGAAGGACGCCAATTACAGACGTCTGCATTGCTTGCGGTTTGTTGATGCTGCTCTGGCCCTGCTTGTCTGCCGTTAAACTTGTCCTTATATACCTTAAACTATACTGGGATCCCTGATATGATTGAAGTCATATGGGAGTTTCCGAAAATAGGGGTACCTTATTTTGGGGTAATAAGGATCCTACTATTCAGGGTACTATATTAGGGTCCCCTATTTTGGAAACTCCCATATTCCTTAACTAAGGGAGATAGGAGTCTCTTGTTCTTTGCCCTTCTGCTGCTTGCCTTTCTCTTTGGAGTGGGCTTTGCCCTCCTTTTCGGCACCTTCGGCACTGCTTGCATGTCATGTCACGACGGCCCGAATTCTGCGAGAAGACTCTGCACTACGGGACACCTCGCATAGTCCAGTGCGATCCTGTCATGCATGTCAATGTAGCCCTGGTCAGCCTTTGAGTGCACCAACAGGCGCACCACGTCCACACACGCATCGTATGCAGCGAGATGAAGCGCAGTCATCCCACGGTTGTCAAGAATGTCCATGTCAGCTCCGGCAGCTAACAGTACCTGGAGGTGGCATTCTTGGAAGAACATTAGACAGCAGTTTCTCATCCGATCATTTTGTAATTCTCGGCTTCGGGTGGGGCACTGACAACTGCTGTTCCCTGTTTGCGTGAGCTTGTCTGTGTACTCTTGTGGAGGTTTAAGAATTCACATAACCAGAAACCTTACCCGTAACAGGAGAACCACGCATGTCCTAACCCTACATTAATTAATGTATGTGCATCTACAACATGTACACACACACACATGTGTGTATGTATATATATATATATATATATATAATGTATGTGTATATGTGCAAGTGCATGTGCACATGTATAGGTATAAGTTTATGTACATGTATAGGTATATGCATACATGCATGTATATATATATATATATACATACACATAGATACAGCCACACATAGGTTCAGGATTGTTCGTTCAACAAGGGTGTTGCTCTTTCAGGGTGCTCGATATAGCTTGTGATGAGGTGGTGCTACGGTTGATGATTGATATAAATCCTGCATCACCCATAATAAGGGATATACCATAATTCCCATAGTTTGGGGTCCTTAAGGTAATGCAGGATTTATATCATCAACCGTGCCAGCCCCTAGGGCTGAATAAACAGCACAGCAACTTGTCACAAGCTGAAACGGTGTTGTCTTCGAGCAGTAAGCCCAAAACCCCCAAACCCCTAAACCCCTAAACCCCCAAACTCCTAAACACTAAACCCCTAAACCCTAAACCCCGAAACCCCAAACTCCTAAATCCCTAGAGATCCCTTAAAGGAACCCTTAAGGATCCCTTATAGATCCCTTTAAAGAGCCCCCAGACTCCTAGATCCCCCCCAAGCCCTTCCTCCACCATCTTCGCATGCCCCTGGCGACTCGCTCGATGAAGCGCAGTTCTGCCTTGCCTGTCCACTGCATCCTTGGGTTCGATTTAGGGCTTTAAGGGTTTAGCGTTTAGTGTTTTAAGTTACTGTTTTTTAATGGGTTTGGGGTTTAGGGTTTCGGGTTTAAGGGTTCAATATGAGGGATTTAAATGATTGGTATGTTGTTTGTGGTATGTTGTTGTCTGTATGCTTGTAATAACGAGCCCGCTACTCCGACTGCTTCGATTCTTCAAGGTTCAGGAGCCAGATTTAAATACGGTTTAGGGTGAGTTTGAAGATGAAGGGTTATAGGGCGCAGAATTTGGGGTTTAGGGGGTAGTTTAGGGTTAAGGATGCTTAAGGCTCAGCATCTAGGGCGGCTTTGGGTAGGGTTTGGGCTTTGGTGGTTTAGGTTTCTGAGGCTTGGGATTTAAGGCTTGGAGTATAGGGTGACAAATGCTGCCTCGCAACCGCTTTTGCTCTTGAGTTGAGCAATACTTCGAGCATTTCCTGGTGGCCTCTGCTGCAGGAGAGGTGGATTGCCGCATAGCCAGCCTCGCCGCTGCGGTTTGGGTTCGCCGCGCTCTCCAAAAGAATCCGAGCCACATTTGCGTAACCCTTGTCCTGAGTTGCACAGACAGTCGAACTTACCAGTCAGCTAAAATTGTTAAGCTTTTAAATCACACGGAGGATTTTTCCTATGATTTCACGGATGAACTTAGCTGAGGGGTATACGGCTCTGGTTCGGGCTCTACGGTTGAAAAAAGATTTGACTGCAAGCAGCGATGGAGGGTTTTTTTGGGAGGTGGGGAAGGGGGAGGAAGGACTATGTGACTAGGGTTAGGGTTGGAGGTTCAGGGTTCCCAGGTTCCGAACCCTACAGACAGGTTTAGAGTTCAGGGTTAAGGTTTTGGAGTTTGGGGTGTAGAGGTGTGGGGCTTTAGGGCCATCACCATCACGTCACTATCAAGCAAACGGCAGGAGCGCTAGAACAAAAATCTGCGCTTTGAAGTCCGGAATCAGCAGCCCACGTCAGCGCGACTTCCCCCCGCGCATCTGCTGAGTCCTGGGTTTGTCTACTTCACCGGCCCACGAAGAGGTGAAACTTTCAGTTCTGCTGCCAATGCTGTAGATGGGTAGTGTCAAAATCATGATCCCCTTTTGGGTTCCCTACATCTTAGGTGCCGTATTGTATTAAGGACCCGAAAAGGGACCGTAATTTTGACAACCACCCAGATAGCTTTAGGAAAAATTCCAAACTCTGGACTCTTCCCTCCGTAAGTCCTGAATCCCACAGAAAGCAAAACCCATGCACCGAGAGTCTACCAGAGCCATGGCCTTCAGCAGCAATTCTGCCAGCCTGCAGCAAAGTGTCCCAATTAGATCCTAAACCTGCACCCTAAACTCTAATGAAGGAACCTGCTTAAAGGAACCCTGGGTCTTTAAGGGTTCTCTATACGGATCCCAGTAAATTGGGGTTCTAGGACCAAGGTTCCTTCATCAGGTTCCTACAATAACAAATGAAGGATCCTTGACTTTCTTCTTCTCAAAGAGGAAAAGGAGGGACCCTTAATGGGGACCCCTACCCTATAATAGGCTATATAAATGGGTATATATAATAGCTATATTAAGGGTATATACCTAGGGGTCCTTATTAAGGGTCCATCCTTTTCCCCTTTGGTCTTCCCCGGGCCTTGTCTACTAAGCTTGTGCTGGCCCTGGCATCCAAGAGCACCTGCACCACATCCTCGAGTGGGAGACTTGTAGGGCTCAGGATATCAGAGGGTAAGACTAGGGTCCTTTAAAAGGGTTCCTTTAAAGGGATCTATAGGGTTCCTTAAAAGGGATCTATAGGGTTTAGGGTTTAGGGTTTACTTAAAGGCTCATGGGACTTAGTGAGTAAGGTTATAAGTAAGGTTATCATTAGGACAACCCCACTTAGGGGGCTTATAACCCCAATTATAACCTACTTACTAAGTCCCATGATCCTTTAAGTAGGGTTTAGGGTTTATAGTGTCTGGGGCCAGGGGTCCCGGATACTGGGAGGATCATAGGACTTAGTAGGTAAGGTTACAAATACCTTCATTGGGGTCATAGGTAGCTACAAGCCTAGCTGGGCCTAGCTCCTAACTACTGACAAACCTAGCTACTAAGATCATAAACCTTTAAGTAGACCCTAAGCCCTAAATCCCTACAGACGCCTCATAGATCCTCTTTCAGGAGCCCTTAAGGAACCCTGTTAAGAAACTAATACAAACGAATCCTTAAGTAAACCTGGCTTAGGGCCCTTGGGGTTCCTTCTGTTGATGATCTAAATCCTGCATTACCTTAAGGACCCTAAACTATAGGAATTATGGTATATTCCTTATTATGGGTAATGCAGGATTTATATCATCACCCTAAACCCTAAACCCTAAAACCCTATACATCCCTTAAAGGAGCCCCTTAAAGGTGCCCTTATAGATCCCTTTACATCGTTCCGGTCCTGGTGGCCCAAGGCAGCTGCCCAGTGGATCGCTGTCGTCGAGTCCTCTCGACTCTAGGGCCCGTCTTCGTTGGCATGCACGATGCCTCGGTTTAGGGGTTTAGGGGTTTAGGGTTTAGGGTTTAGGGGTTTAGGGGTTTAGGAGTTTAGGGGTTGGGGGGTTTAGGGGTTTGGGCTAAGGGCTTGCGGGTTTTGCGGGTTTACAGCAGGAGCAGTAAACTTGGAACATCGCTATCCTCATTCCCTTAAGGTAAAGCAGAGGGAATCCTAGCACTCATCATCCAAAATCAATGTTCCAACTTTCTGGGGTTCACTATAGGGGATTAGAGGTTTCGGGTTTAGGGACGCCTTGTTCTGCCGAGCGTGCAAGCAGAATCCCTTACGAGAAGGAGGCATCGGTTCAGCCGTAGGGGAACTGCGAGTAGGGCAACAAGTTGAAGGTAGGTAAATGAGTGGGTATGTATGCATGTATGTATGTATTGGTTTGTTTGGACGAAACCATGTGCATGAGAATGTAAGGATGGATGCACTAAGGTATGCACGTACATGGGCATGTAAGTAAGTAAGCGCGATGCACGGACGTATGGATGGACGGCCCTCGCAACTGTGCAGGTAGCTGCATGTATGCAAGCTTGCCCGTTTCTTTGTTCGCTCGTGTGCATGCATACATACATACACAGATACATAGATACATAGTTACATACATACATAGATGCATATACACATATCCATATAATATACATATTATGTACACACACATATATACATGTGTACATATACATAGAAATATACAAACACATGCATATATACATATTTACTTATATATATATATATATTCATGTATGTATGCCTCTGTTTCTGTCTCTGTCTGTCATGTTCTTCCCCCCCCACCGTCCGCCTCTCCCGACCTCATCATGTAGATGGGCTTCCCATATCAGCTTCTCTGAGTGCTTGTGCATACCCGAACATCGTGATTAATTTGCACGTCTTGGTACGGTCTGGATCTGCTCCGGCCTCAAGCAGCAAGGCCGCGACAGCTGCGTGGCCATACTTCGATGAAAGATACAGGGCCGTGCAACCGGATACGTCCGGACGATCTACCTGGTTGTTGCGCGACGTTCGAAGTCTCAATATACATATGCCCATCATAGGAGTTCTTCTGTTGGAATTGATGTTCTAGAGCGGAACCCATCTAAGCTCATACAGGACCCTAGACATCCTGAGGAACCATGCAAAGGAGTTGGAATGTAACATACCCTCAACCCTAAACCAATAACATTCCCTTACTTGGAGGATCATGGGACTTACTATCTAAGGTTATAAGTACCTTAGTTGGGGTTATAACTTATAACCCAAGTTACTAAGTCCCATGATCCTTTAAGCAGCGACCCTGGGTTTGTACTATACGAGTATCCCCCCAGAATCGAATCGAATTGTGCAAGCCCGTATAGAAACCCTTATTGTCGTAACTATAGCAGCCCTTTTCAATTGAATTTAAAGGGAATTTTGGTCGAAAGATTTGGATAGTTCTCGAAACTGGGGTGCCTTTTTAGGATAGGGTTTAGGGTTTAGGGTTTTTAAGTCCCAAACAATACGGCACCTTTATAAACGGACCCCAAAGAGGACCCTTATTTACAGGAGGTCTACCCATTTTACCGCTCTGGATCTCTAAACGCTCTTGATTCCTTTAGCCTAACGCCTAAGCCCTATAGGATTTCGGGTTTGGTCGGTTTAGCCTTTATAGTATCTAACGAGTTTGGGGCCTATAGGGGTTTAAGTTCAGTGTTTAGGTCGTGCGCTAAACCCTAAAAACCCCAAAACCCGTAAACCCCTCAACCCTAAACCCCTAAACCCCCAAGCCCCTAAACCCCTAAACCCCTAAACCCCTAAACCCCCAAACCCCTGAACCCTAGGACCCTTTTTGAACGAGATCCGCCTCTGCCTCGGCTTCCAACAGCAAGCTTGCGGCCACAGCATGGCCTGGGAGGGATTGGGTTTAGGGTTTAGGGTTTAGGAACCGCCAAACCCGAAGATCAGGCTAATGTTCCTTATGATTTTAGGGTTTAGGGCTTAGGGCTTAGAAACCTGATTAAGCAACCTGGGGCCTTTATTAGGGTTCTATCAGGATTCCTTTAAAGGGTTCTATTATAAGGGTACTATTAGGGTTTTGGGGGGTTTTGATGTAGGAACCTGAAACTTTGTTGGGGCTCCTTATATGAATCCTACTACTTTGGGGAAAATTATAGGCCCAGGGTTTCTTAATCAGGTTTCTACATGAGGGTTTTGGGTTTTTGGTTGTTGGGTTTATAGGCTTTAGGGTCTATAGTTTACCTTAACCCTGAATAACCTACCTTTTTCGGGCTCCTTATTATGGTTTAGGGGTTTAGGCTTTACCTGGACCCTAAAGAGCCTAGCTCTTTACAGTTCCCGATTATGATTTCCAGATATAAGTCCTTAAAACAGTAGGTTATTTAGGTTAAGGTAGGGTCTGGGGTAAACTCAAAGCCTTGAGCCCTGAACCTCTTGCTTTAGCGCTGAAGAGCTTAAAGAAGATGCATGTGTAGTGTCATGACGTGAATATGGGGGTTTCCGAAGATTAGGGGTACCTGATTCTGGGGTCCGTATAGCAAGGATCCTACTATTTAGGGTAATACATTAAGGTCCCCTATTTTCGGAAACTCCCATATGCATATGAAACCAGGAGCTTGGTCTCAAGGCTCTAGGGTAACCATACTGATAATTACATACGGTTGATGGTATAAACCCTGCATGACCTTAAAAACCCTAATCTCTGGGGATTATGGTATATTCCTTATTATGGGTTATGCAAGATTTATATCATCAACCGTATAACCCCAATTTAGGGACAGAAAACTCACTGATTTTAAATACAGAGTTGAGCAAAACGAATGCCTGACGACCAAACGCAATCCCTTGAGCCGCGCGATTTGGAGTTTGGACATTTAGGGCTAGGCCGGCCTCCGTGACAAGCATAATGCAGAGGCGTGCTTCCCGTCGACTCGAAACCCAAGTCTGGATCTGTAGGTCGCTGAAGCAGCTCCTGAATCTAATTACTGGTTGAAGCTGAAAAAATCTTCATGAGACTCTAAATACAAAACTGACGATGGGAATGCTGCAAATAGGTTATGGTAGGTAAACGTAAACCTTTGGATCTACAGTTCATGTTGCCGAGGGCTTTTTGATCACGCGGACCCTGTGTAGAGCTCTGACTTGCAATGAAAGTCTTCGCCACAAGCAACGTCTTCTGAATAAATGCAAAAACACTAAAGTTCCAGATGCAAAGCTTAGAACCATGATTTCGGTGTTTTCGGTGTTGGTTGAGGATAAAGTAGTTCTCAGCGTAAAAAACCTGATGGCATTGAACATTTGAGCTTACAACGTTTTTGAATTTTGACTTTAAGGTTTGCGAGTTCCGAAATTTCGGCATCTCCTCAATCGCCGGAACATGACCGCGTTCAGCAGCAAGCGCCAATGCGCCGATTTCTTCTTCGGAACTTGTTGCAAAGTCATGCAGAACCACCAGCTGAACCTTAGTTGCGGACTGGCTTCAGAAGCCCCAAAAAGTCTACACTTTCAGTTCTATCAAGGAGCATATTATCCCCAAAAATTTAAAGTGTGCTCATTCAGCTGATAAGGAGCATCCCCGACGATGCTCTCCAAGTTGTCAGAGTCTTCCAGGACATTGCTGCAGTGCAAAAGCCGCTGCCAGAATCGAGGATAGCCTGTCAGCCAATGAAGTTCTTGCTTCAGGGACACCACATCACGATTGTCCCGTGACACCACAGCCACTTTCTCTCCAGAAGCCCACCAAACGTGAAGGTCATCAGCCATAGCGAGATGGCGTCGGAAGGAAATCTGACTTCGATGTGGCCCGAAAACCCAAAGTCAACCCTATCCAATAAGAAAGTCATGGTAGTCGTAGTTGTAGTGTTAGCGTTAGTGCAGTGCTGGTGACAGAGGATTGTTGTTGTCTGGGTGGTCATTGTCGGGAGGCAGTGACAGGTAGTACTGGTGGTAGTAGTAGCAGCAGCAGGAGAAGTATTATTATTATTAGTAGTAGTAGTAGTAATAGTAGTAGTAGTAATAGTAGTAGTAGTAGTAGTAGCAGTAGTAGTAGTAGTAGTAGTGGTGGTGGTGGTGGTGGTAGTAGTAGAAGCAGGAGTGGGAGTAGCAGAAGAAGTAGTAGTAGCAGTAGTAGTAGTAGCAGTAGGAGTAGTAGTAGTAGTAGTAGTAGTAGTAGTAGTAGTAGTAGTAGTAGTAGTAGTAGTAGTAGTAGAAGTAGTAGTAGTAGTAGTAGTAGTAGTAGTAGTAGTAGTAGTAGTAGTAGTAGTAGTAGTAGTAGTAGTGGTAGTAGTAGTGGTAGAAGTAGTCGTAGTCGTCGTCGTTGTACTAACTAGTAATTAATACTGCTAGCAGTAGCAGTAGCAGTTGGCAGTAGCGGCAGCGGCTGCAGCAGCAGCTGCGGTGGGAGTAGCAGTCGCAGTGTCGTAGTAGTAGTGGTCGCGGTAGTGGTAGCGATAACGGTAGTGCGCGGCAGTTGTAGTGGTAGTGGCAGTGGTCGTAGTAGTCAGCAGTAGTGGTATTTGTAGCAGTAATATTGCAGGTAGTGGTTAGAAGCATTCGTCGTAGCAGCACCAGCAGCAGCAAGAGTAGCCACCGCTAGGAGTCTTCACCGAGATGAAACAAGCACCGGTCAACAAAGAGTAGTAAGTAATGCAATGAAGGGCAGGGCAGGGCAGGGCAGGCGGGACAGGGGGGCCAGGAGGGACCAGGGGGGGCCAAGGGGGGCCAGGGGGGGGTTCCTCATTATGGGTGGTATGACCTACAAACTCCGTCGAGGTGCAACACTTATCACAGGGGTGTAATGTGCGGGGGGGCCTTAATGATTGGGTTTGGGGCGTTCCTTTTTATAATTACAGTATTATAACATACCGCCCAAACCCTATTCTAATTAGTAAGACCCCTACACTTCCAAACCTTGGGCATTATATCCTCAAAGCTCAGACCATACTCAAAATGCCACGGGCTCCCTTCCAGAAGACTTACGCTGAAGCTTGAGCCAGACACATCTTCCAGGCGTGGAATTCTGGGTTCGGAGTTTGGTGTACTTTGAAGGTTTAATAAACTTGCTATGACGTACTTTGGTGTTGAAGGGCGCAGGTTTTAAAGGGTTTAGGGTTGTATGAATTTCTTGGAGGCAGAGGGTGCGGGTAGATTTTGTTGCTTCTTCAACCCGATCGTAAGTTCCGGAAGTCATGCTGGTTTCGGGCTTAGGGCTTTACGGCCTTGAAGGGGCTCCTTAAGCTAAAGGACTCTACGAGGAATCTATGGGGATTTAGGGCCTTGGGTTCAAAGCTTTGGGTTTAAGTTTAGGCCTCGCAGCTTAGGGTTTAGGGTCTAAGCAGAGGATACCACAACTCGGAAGTCAGCCTGGCATACCTTGGGGGCAGCTCTTCGTCTCATCTTTTTCACCCCAAACCCCGGCCGGGGGTGCGCATGGTTTAGCGATTAGAGGTGTATTTGAGCTTAGGGGTTGAGGGTTTAGAGGCTTCAGGTTAAGGGTGTGGGGTGTAATTAGGGGTTTAAGGCTTAGGGATATCCTCGCTGTCCGAAGCCTTCACTCCCGACAAGCCGTCGCAATACACTTGCTGTACTCTATACGCCCCTTGGATCCCAAATAAAAGTCGCAGCGCTACTTGTCCCTCGGGGCTTGCTATCATCGAAATGAAACCGGACTCCGAAGGCAGATCCCGCCCTGCCCCGAAACCCTGAACCCGAAACCTTAAACCCTAAACACTGAACCTTAAACCCTAAACCCTCGCCCATTGTAGTCTAATTATACTAAGGAACCCCCGAAAAATAGTTTAGGCTCATAGAGCCTGCAGTTGCTTCCAACTGAAATGCCCTGCTCACTCCTTACACCGACACCGAACCCAAATCCTCCACCGAAAAATCAGAACCCTAAACCCGTATAAAACCTTTAAAGGAACCCTTAAGGGGACTCTTGTAGGAACCTTTCAAGTCCGACACTACCACTAACCTGCACGACCAACCTGTAGAGCTCAGGGGGTTTAGGGTTTTTGAATTGGAATAGGGCTTATTATCGTACCCCAAAAGGTTAAAGGTTGCCTAATTTCCCTACTATTACCTGCAGTCTCCGTTGTAGCTCCTTTGTGGTAACCAACTTTATGATCAGAATCCTCAAGGTGCGAAACAGGAGCTGCAACCGAGTCTTGAGGCAAAGCTCCAACACTGAACCGTGGACCCTAAAACACAGGATCTTGAACCGAGTGTAGTTCGAGGGAGGAGGTGGCTACTTCAACAGATCTCGCGCTGAGGGCTTAGGGCTTTGTGAGGGGGAATAGAAACGGGTGTTGGGTTCATTCTGAAATATACTATACATGTTCGGGACCCCTGTAGATTTCTTAAGGGAGCGTCACTAAACCCTACAACAGCACATCAACGATAGGCTGCCTCCACCTTCCTCGGCCACCACGAGATTCAAAAGATCCGTGTTGAACGACACATCGGAGACCTGAATTGGGGTTTAGGGTTCCTTCAAACTTTTCTGGAAGGAAGCCTTGCATTCATTTCCGGCTGAGGTTTTTCGGTTTGGGCTTTGGGATTTTGGCTTAGTGCCTTGGTTTTGTTTAACTCAGGTTCCCTTCCAACCCTCCCTGCTTGGAGAAGCAGGGACTTAGTAAGTCGTTTATAAGTAGGCTTATTATTGGGGTAACTCCATGGAGAGTACTTATAACTCTACTTATAACCTGCTTACTACGTCCCCTGCCCCTCCAAGTACACCCTCTAGGCTTACGCGGCTTGGAGTTTGAGGCTTCCGGGCCATGAGAACCTCCTGGGCTGGGAGCCTATACCCAGGGCTCTGACGTAACCAGGGGGGAGCTTCCGAACATAGGGGACCCGAAGATAGCACCCTGAATAGTAGGATCCTTATTATAAGGTCCCCAAAACAGGTACCCCGAATTTTCGGAAACTCTCAGCAAGAAAAAGGTATAGACTTTCATTTCATAACGGTCCCTGTAAGTACCACGTCCCAAATAAAGTGTTCAAGTATGGTACTCCAAAGCCCAGTAGGAGCAGAATGGGGTAGTGCGGGTAGGCTTACAAAGGGGCCATGCAGTGATGTTTTGACTGCTTACTCAGACCTCTATATAGTCTGTTTGATTCCACCTCAATCAAACCCCCAAAAACTCAAGATTAATAGCACAAGCCATATAAGGGAACGCAAAGTCTCAAGCTTCCGCAGGCTTTGTTACTATTGCCTCACACCCTGAACCCTTATTCTTACAGAAGGGACTGCCATGGGGCCTGGGTTTTTGCATACCCAGTGTTTTGCACTTTTTGCGCTACTTGTTGTTCGGTGCTTGTCGTTCGGGGTTGCTTTGCATGCTTCGGAAGGCCCTCTGGACCCCTGGAAGTCCTGCAAGCCGTAGTTATAAGCACAAGCCCTACACCTTACACCCTAAACCTTCAGCAAAACCAAAAAAACCAAAAAAACCAAAAAAACAAACAAACCAAAAAAATCAAAAAAACCAAAAAAACCAAAGATTTCCGCACTAGTCGGAATCCTTCAGACTAGTGCAGAAATCTTTGGTTTTTTTGTTTTTTTTGGTTTGTTTGGTTTTTTTGGTTTTTTTGGTTTCCGCCACCGCTGACGTGCCCGGACACCCTTCCGCTGTGGCTGTTCTTTTGGGTGTAGGGTCTACGTAAACAAGACTACTCTCTAATCTATCTTATGTGATGCTTATAAGCAGTCCGGCTGCTTATGATTCCACGCAGGCTTTCTGCTTATAAGCAATCCGGCTGCTTAGAAGCAGGCTGTCTGCTTATAAGCAATCCGGCTGCTTATAAGCAGGCTGTCTGCTTACAAGCAGGCCGGTTGCGGCCTTCTGCTTATTGGCCCTGCTTCTGCTTATAAGCAATATCCTGTTGTTTACAGGCACTCGGGGGCCGTATGAGTAGCTATTCTAACCCCACCCACGCGTGCGCCAGACACCAACCAAGACGGAGAACACGAGAACCCACACCAATTGCACAAACATTACCGTAAATTTGATATCCTGACCTGTTGCATGTTTGATATGGAAGAACATGCCAAGCTTATCTAGCATACCACACGACCTGAATTTGTTATTATTTCCGGTTTCATGGTGTGTGCTAAGAATTCAATGGACCAAGCACCATGTAAACCATAGGGATATATCAAGGGGAATCGCGAGGATGGAAGGCATCCAGATGGGCCTCGACCATAAGGAATCGTGGAGACTTATCTCTTGAACACGTGGTCATATACTGCCACACCATGTCATAGAATAGATACCAGGTGCTAGAAAGTCCCTTCTACACGTGGACTTTGCCTTTTTATACACACAAATATTGCAGACGCACATGTAGATAAGTTATCTGACCATATTCCATCTATATATCTGCCTATCCATGTATCTATCCACCTATCTATTTGTCTACCCATCTGTACATTCATATACATACTGGTCTCAGCATGGATGATGTCACCGACCTCTTAACCTGGCAACTTAGAGATATTGTAGAACCCTGATACAATCTATGACAGGATATGTTATGGCACCGCACAAGAGACAAAGCACACGTGTACAGTGTATATGTTTTCGCCGATTTGCAGAAATACCGTCTTGACACGGTCACATTAGCTGTGCGTTGTTGTGGGGCCCATTATAGCAAGTCATTGCGGCTGTTTTGAGATATTGCAATAAACATTGAACTGAGTACTCACACGCCACAGCCTTCAACGAGTCAAGACATAGGGGAATCAGAACACGGAAAGTCGGTTCTGCCCCCGAGAGTACCGGGTGTTAAAGTTGTAGAATACGCTGGAACGATGTATGAAGTAATTACTCATGTTTAATACTTCATGTCATTTCGCTTACAAGCGCTGGCGTATCTGCCGTGCACTTCGTATTGAGGCAGTAGAGCGTACCATGGTAGTGCAAACACAGAAGCAGTGCATGCATAGGCTTGTGAGTGTATGTATCCCTGTATGACTTAACGAAGGCATGCCCGGGTTTCTGTGTGCATCGTTACTGGCAGCAATATATACAGTTTTGCGATAGTCATTGGGGTTGCGGATTGGTCTGAGACGCCACAGAAGCAAGTCGTACTGACATGCTGAAATACTACAGTGCAGACTCAACTGCGTAGTACTCTAGCAAACAGACAGACCTTCAGCACCGAGTCAGGACATCAGGGGATCAGAACACGGCAAGTCGGCTCTGCACCTTAGATTACCGGGTGTTAACGTGGTAGGTTAACGTGTTAAAACAAGCTGGAATGATACATGAGGCAACTACTTAAATGATTCTTTCATTTCGCTTGGAAGCAGCTGAAGCAGCTTAGTGGATTGTGGTGGTAGAGCATTCCACGGTAGTGCAAATATACAAAAACACATGTACGGGCTTTTGAGTTTATGCTTGCGTGCATGTGTATCTGTAAGAACAAACATGCCTGCGCATTCACGTATATATACATGCACATACGTACTGCATAATGTTACACTTTTGTGAACATTAGCATGCGTAAATGCATGCGTGCATAGTACAATTCTATATGAGACCAAGAAACACAGTACTCAAAAAACCCAGGCCCCATGGCAGGCCGCTCTCTATTCTTAGGGGTTGAGCATCGTAGCCCATAAGAGGTTACCCTTTTCAATTCAGGTAGGATTATACAAACCCCAAAAGGTTCAAGGTTACCTACTTGGAGGCCCTTTTGACTTAGTAAGTCTACTTAGTATCCCCTAGAAACCCTATTAGAAACCCCATAACCCACCTTAATAACCCTACTTACTAAGTCAAAAGGGCCTCCAAGTACTCAGCTACTAAGTATCAGAGATTGGGGCCCCTGGGTTTTAGATGTCTTAAAATCCATGGACGCTGGTGGAGCAAAGATCCAACTTCGTGCTGGAAGATTGCGGTCGAAGAGACTACTACTTAAAGGATCATGGGACTTAGTAAGTAAGGTTATAAGTACGTTATAATTAGGATAACCCCACTTAGGGGACTTAACCCCAGTTATAACCTACTTACTAAGTCCCATGATCCTTTAAGTACTATCATTAGTACTGTTAATATAGCTACTATTGTCCATTCTATGGCTATTACTGTAACACCGGGCTTCAGGCGTCTGGGTTTGGGGCTTTAGGGGTTTAGGGTCTTAGGTTTATGGGATTAAAGATTTTGGCCTTTGGGGCTTTAGGATTTCCAGCTTCTCTATTAGATTATCTGTTCAGGGCATGTCACCTAGTTGGACATGTTGCACCTGTGCTTAATGACTCCAACTGATATGTAGTGCAAGCAAATGGTGATTCCCAGAAGTTCGATTCCCATTGTTTTTGTTTGCTCGTAAGTACAGCCAGTCTTTTCTGACTACCACGATCCTCCAAGCACTATAGGTATTTTCAAGCCGAGAACCTTAAGGAACACTATCAAACAAACCGAGTCCTTAAACCCTACTACATACTACTTCTTATCATTCAGGCCGCTGCAAAGCAGACTCTGAAGCTTAGACCAACATATAGAACCTGTTACAGCACCTTTGGGGTTTAGTTTGAGGTTTAGGGGTGCATGGTTTTGGGCAATAGTTAGACAGGCTTTTTGGGTCAAGGTTCGTGCAGTAGAGAGTGTAAGTGGGTTCAGAAGTTTTTGTTTAGCAATTGCGTGACGGCCGCGGGATCGAACTGGAACCGACATGAGCTGGTGGAACCTTCCGAACCGACAACGATTGTTCTGACAGGAACCGCGAATCGAAACAAATCGGACTGTGATCGGTTCGAAAAGTGTAAACCCTAAACCCTAAATTGGTTTTGGGCGTTTTTGGTGTTGCCGGCTGGTTTTGCTAGCTGCCAGCTAGCCCTGCTTGCATTGCTGGCGTTGCTGTCGCTGGCGTCGTAGGTGATGCTGCCGTGGACAAAAAAAGCGTTGTTGAGAATTAGGTTTTTAGGGTTTAGGGTTTAGGGTTCGTTGTTTAGAATTAGGGGTTTCGAACTTGCGGCGTACGGCCACGGAATGGAGCCTGCCGAAATTCCACACGTGATTATTGTTGTATGTACAGGGATGTGGTCCGATGTCTTCGAGGGCCCTTCGAATGCGATCGTGCTGTTGGGAAACCGCAAGGGGAAGGCACCGAATCTGGTTCCGGGTTTCTCTAAACCCTAATAACCCTAAAGCCCTAAACCCAAAACACACTGAACCCAACATGCTAAACCACGAAACCTATCTGGAGTTCCGTGTTTACCCATAGGCTCCCTTTGTGGGGTTCATATGTAGAATCCTAAAAGGTAATCCCAAGAAGGAACTACTATGGAGCCTATGGGTAAGCACAACGTCCAACACCCTAGACTCCAGACAAGTCCTTGCAATAGAACCTTCGTGGGGTTAGGGTTTTGGGTTTTGGGCTGGGATCCCCAAACCCACCGTTTTTGGAGTTAGACCCTCTTATGAAGGGGTCATAACCTACTATTTTGGTAGGGTTTGGGGATACAGGTTTACAGAACCTTAAAACACCCTTCAAGGTAGCCTTAACGGGCATCTTTCAGGAACCCTTCATACCCTCAAATGGATGAGCCCTTGAATAAGACTTTTCAGGAACCCTTAGAGGAAACATACCCTTAACCCTAAACCCTTACCGCAAGCTGAAAGGATTTACAAATGCCTTACACAGAGCGCTAAACCCAAAGCTCTTAGAGGATCACGGGACTTAGTGACCAGGGCTCTTGCTAGGGTAACTTTTACTTGTAATGGCTTGTAGCCCCAACTAGGGTACTAACAACCTGACTCACTTACTACCTCCCATGACCCTCCAACTACCCTTAACCCTAAACTCCGAACCCTGGACCCAAAACCCCAAACCCTTGAACCCTATATCAACCTTAACCCCTAAACCCTTGCCACAACCCTAAATAAACCCCCAAAACCTCTTTATAACCCCTAAACCCCCAACAAAAGCCCTAAATCTCTAAACTTAAACCCTCTTAGCAACCTTAGGCTCCGACTTCCCTCGGTGGGGCCGCCAAGGCGGGAATGAGGTGCCCCCTGCGCGCCATGTGTGGCGCGATGTGCACCGATGGTCGCCCCGCGCGTTCAGCGCGGAGGAGCTCTACCACGCCGTTTACCTCGGTTCAGGCAACCGAACCCTAAACCCTAAACATAAACCCTGATCTTTCTTTAGGGCTTAGGGTGTTCGGGATGAGGGTATAGCTTAGGGTTTCGATTTCAGGTCTAGGGTTCTGGGTTGAACTGAACTGTAGTTAAAAGATCATGGGACTTAGTAAGTTCTCAAGTGGGATAATCCTAATTATAACCCGCTTATAACCTTACTTACTAAGTCCCATGATCCTTTAAGTAGTCTTGAGGATAAGGACGGTTTTGATTTAGGCTGTAATGTTTCAGGACAAAGTTTGGGGATTATGTAGTCGGTTGCTGTTTGTGTATCCTACTGCCCAGAGACTCCAATATCCCTTAACTAAAGAATATTCCTTAAGTCATATCAGGGATCCGACTCTACTTTCAGGTATAATTCTTCATTCAGGGATATTGGAGTCTCTGGATACTCCGGGTCAACGCACGGATCCCTTTTATTTTTGGGGTGGTTTTGTTTCGGGTAGGGGTTTGGGGGTTCAGGGTTGAGGAAGTTGGAGTGTAGGGTTTAGAGGCTTTTGGGCTTCGGGTTTTAGGGTTTAGGGTTTTTGGGTTTAGGGTCTCGGAGTTATGGTATGGGATGCGATAGAGGTTTCCTCAATTTGAAGCTCTATCTTTTCGCAAGTCCAGCTACCCTTTCTTGCAAGCCATGGGTTTCTGAGTCTCGCGATCCTTTAAACTTTAAGCCATCTTGGCCAAGAGCGAAACACTTAAGCGGAACCTCACTCTGTCTAAACCCTACCCTAAACCCTAAAGCCCCTCAGCCTTGAAGCTCACATGGGCGGTTGTCAACATTAGTCCCTTTTCGGCTCCTTCTTTTGTGCGGCACCTAATATTTCGGGTGCCCAAAAAGGGACCCTAAGTTTGACTACTACCCAAACCCGAAAGACTAAAAACCCTCCAGCGCTGACCACCCACAAGACCCTTCTCAAAGCCCAATATCAAACCAAACAGAAACCTCTCATGAACCCGTTTCGAAGCCCTAACGAACCCTAACCCTAAAACCTCAAACCCCTGAACCCGAAACCCTTCAAGCCTGGACTCCTAAACCCTAAACCCCTAAACTCCAACAAACCCTGAACTCCTAAACCCTAGTGTAGAAGCCTTAATAATTAGAATAGGGTTTTGGGGCCCGTTATACTATAATTACAAAAAGGAACCCCAAAGCATTGTTGGTAAAAAACACCCAAATAGTACTGGTAATGACTTAGGCCCCTATAGTAACGAAGCCCAGCGGCGAGTTCGACCGCATCTTCGACTTCCAGCAGCCCGAGCCTCAGCTCGAAGTCATCGCAGGCACGACTTTTGACGTTGAGGGGCTTGGGGTTTCAGGCTTACTTGGAGGCCCTTTTGAGTTAGTAAGTCTGCTTAGTATCCCATAGAAACCATATTAGCAACCCCATAACCCACCTTACTAACCCTACTTACTAAGTCAAAAGGGCCTCCAAGTGCGTTTAGGGGCTTAGGTCTTCAGGCCCTTTTTGGAATTTCGGGGCTAAGTTCAGGGTTCAGGGTTTAGGGTTTAGGGTTTAGGGTTTCGGCTTAGGGTTTGTAGTTTTGGGCTTAAGGCGCAGGGTTTAGAGGTTTAGATTTTTGGGTCTACAGCTCACAGGGTTCATGTAGGGTCAAAGAGCTTTAAGTTTTTTGGAGAACGGTTTTAAGCGCTTTTGGTTTTGATCTTTAAGGGCCACCAAGTTGGTGGTTTTGGATGGTTCGCTCACACGCGGATGCCTTCTACCCTTCAACCGTATCACCCTTGACTTGAACCCAAACACCCTAGACCCTAAAACCTGTCTCAAAAAACCCTAATCGTCAGCATGCACACCCTATTAACTTGCCCTTAATTAAACAAAATCCCTGAATGAACCCTGGACCCCAAACCCCTTAACCCTGAACCCCAAACGCTAAACCCCTAAACCCCAAAACCGTAAACCCTAAAACCTGAACCCCTAAACCCTAAACCTTAAACCCCAAACCCTATACCCTAAACCCCTATACCCTAACCCCTATACCCTAAACCCCAAACCCTGAACTTTAAAAGCTAAACCCTAAACCCCAAACCCCTAAACCCTGTAAGCCCTCTCTCCGATCGTCTCAGACTTCGGCCGCTGAGTTGTGCGGATCAGCTCTTCCGGACTAAAGCGGTACCTTGGGGTTTAGTGTCGAGGGTTCAGAGTTTAGAGTTTAAGGTCTAGGGTTTAGAGTTTAGGGTTTAGAGTTTGGGGTTTAGGAACGGTTAGTGGGAATGGAGGAATCCTGTTCCTGTTCCTGTGCGGACAAGTCGGGCCCTATGCGGGCGCGTCCAAAAATGTGCCTAAATTCGATGGTGAAACGTGGATCGGCCTTTGTAGCCAGAAATCCGCCGTGCCAGATCTGGCCCCTTCCTTAGACTCTCTGTTAACGGACTCCTCGACCCAGGCAACAGTCTCGGGCAGTGGACGAAACAGGGTCTTCAGGCGCTCGAGAGTGAGCTCGTCCTCATCGAGGCCTTCGATGGCCTCGTGGTACGTAGGGGCAAGCGGCCCCTGACACTGCAAGACAGGCGTGGCCGCAGAGTAACACTGCCATCCCCCGTGCTTAATCTTCTTGCGACGAAGCGCTTCGTCGCTCTCGCCCTCCCGAATCTGTACTATCGAGAGGGGCGGCACGAGGTGTGCGCTGCGCAGCAGGCACTCACGGCTTCGGCGGAGATGATACTGCACCCGCTCGAGTGTGTGGCAGTACTTCAGACAGGCGATGCACCACGGAACCTGGGAATAGTGCCTTGCAGGACACAGCGACCCGTGCTTGCGGGACTCATGGAGGGCTACGGCCTTATGCAGTGCGAAGGTGGCGGAGCACCATCGACACTTAAAAGGGAGAGAGCCCACCTGCACAGGAGCAGGGGCGTCCTGGGCGCTTTCAGCCTTCTGAGCCCATGCTCGCAAGTCCTGCTTATACGCTTTGATGGCGAGCTTGATCTGGCTCGGCCACCAATTCGGGTTGTCCTGGACTGCTTCCACAAGTGCCGTGACCGGGCACCCATTGTTGAGGAGCAAGGTCACAGCTGGCACATAGACCGCCACGGCCTGCATATCCTTACACAACTGCGTCAGCCATGACGACATTGGCCGAGTACGCCAGTGTATGTGGAGAAGATGCAACACTGCAGCAGGGCCGTAAGTCAGAAGCCGCTTCAAGAAGACCGCCCGCGACAAAGCCAGCGCCAGTAACGGTGACGGTGCATCAGCCTGTAGCAAGAGGCGAAAGGAATGTGGGCGATCCTGCGGCCTGCAGGTCTTCTGCAATGCTCCCCATAGTTCGACATAGTGCCTGCACCATGTTCGACGGTGAATGGCTGAGTTGAGATCAACCACCGCGCAAGCAAAGACAAACCGCGAGATCACCAAACTCCGAAGAAGAACAATGCGGGTGGTCAATGGCACACTCTGGGTAGCAAACAACCGCCTCCGAAGGGGGCGTAGAACCGCAGATGCCATGGAAAACCGATACGCAATGTCAACGGAGGGCGTGCAGTTGGCCGTGACCACGCCCCCTAGGTGGCGGTAGGAATCCACAATTGGCAAGAAATGGCTCAAGCCAGTGATGTCATCCTGCACGAAGAGGCCAGGGAGTCCCTTAGGGTTTTGCGGCGTGACTGGTAGCGGAGCCCGAGTGCAGGTCAGTGGGAGCAGCGTGGCCGTCTTATCAGCTGCAAAAGTCAAGGCCATGCCAACCGACGATGCCCGTTCCAGGTGGACCTGAACCGCCTGAACAACAACAAGCTCGAGATCAGGGGCCTCTGGAGCTTGCTGTAGGTGGGCATAATCATCCGCCCAGGAGGCGTGTTGAATGGAGGAAGGTACCTCCCAAGAGTGCCAAGGCGCTGCATGTTCCTCGATGGGCACAGCCGTCGAGAGTCCGCGCTGGGCGAGGGTGAGTTCGACTGACTGAAGATAGCTGGCAAAGCAAAACCCGAACAATAAGTCTGCCAAGGGGTCGCCAGGGCGGCTACCCCGATGTGTGGCTGTGAGCAGGGATTCTGGTTCGAGCCTAAACCACGAACCTCTGAACAAGTCAGCAACCACCGACTGGAGATGGCCTGACACCTCGGCTTCAGCCAGCGTGGCCAGCGACTGAAGATGCTGACAGAGCTCACCAACGGCCTGGAGGGGAACGCCCGCCTGATGCAAGAGTCGCAAGAGGGCGGCGTCCTCATCGGGCGACTTGAGCAACACTTGTCGGAGCACCCGATAGTAGGCCGCCTTCAGGTCGTAGAATGTGATTGCCGTGGAATGTGAGCGGCGCATCATGCAGCCCTGGAACGAACGAACCATCAGGGAGATGGTGTCCACGCCCACACCCCTCGAAGTGCCGGCCTGTTGCCCATTCTTGAACGCTTCCAAGTGTGAGGCCAGCTTTCCCCGCAGGATTTTGTGGTAGATTTTGCCTGTCGTACTGGCCAGGAGTATAGAGCGGTACCCTGTACAGTCCAGCGCCGTAACGGCGCGCTTTGCCAGCGCCATTAAAGTACCGCTCCAAGAAAGGATTTCAGGAAAAGGGGATACAACTTAAGGGCGGACATGCCTGGGCAAACTTGGTACGCCTCGACTGCCAGGCCGTCTGGACCGACAGCTTTCCCCTTCTTGGCAGAAAGAAGGTGTTCCTCCAAATCGAGGAGAGTGGGCAAATCCCGTACACAGAAACTGGGCCCTTCAGGAAGGACTGGTATGTCCGGTTGCTGGAAAAGGGAGACATATTGCTCATCCGTGACCGCCTGTCCAGCCTCCTGGGAACCAAAGTATTCCCTCCAGCGCTGGTTGCGCTGTTCCGGGGTGGCAGCCATCTCACCATTCTCTAAGCGGATGGCCGGAAGGGGAACAAAGCTGGACCTCTTGGAGGTCTTGGCAGCGGGAAAGGCTCGGCGAACTGCGGCGAAGAGTTTCCGAGGTTCTCTCAGGTCGCACAAGGACACCTGGGCCGCCAAGCCCTGGAGATATGCAGTACGGTCGACTTTGACAGCAACACGGATTGCTTGCGTGCTGCGCCGCAGTTCTATAACTGCACGTGCAATGCTGACATCGATTTCCGCTAACCATCGTGCCGCTCGAGTGGCAGCACCGGGGGTCAGGCGAACACGCTGCGTATGGCTGACAAGAGCAGCGAAGGCGATCAACACAAGCCTCCGACTGGATTCCTGCTGTTCCTGCTTAATGTAGGCCCGCAGGGCGGCACGGTGCTGCACGAGCTCCAAGGTTTCTGGGGTGAGGTAGCACTGCCTGGGCTTGGGAGGGGCCTGTAGCTGGACCAACCTGGCTGCTGAGCGATAATCCGAGACAACACAGGAGAAATGGTGGTCAACAGAGGCTTGCCATGCTGGGTTCGGAGAGGTCGCCAAATGCTCCATGTATAGGGCTCGATCCGAAGGGCTCATATCCAACGGTGGCCTACAAGGCGAGCGGCCTGCTCGAGAAGTGGCTGCAAGCGGTGCGGCTTTGCCGAATTTGGCACAGAGGATAACAGGAAAGTGGTCCTGCCTGGGTTGCAGGGCTTCAATGCTCGTCCAGACGGAGGTCTTGATATCACAGCCATCCCATCCTGAAGGTACCCCTATGTAATCGAGCCGCCGATACACCGGAGGGATACTAGGGGACACCCACGTCCATGACTGTCCAGTATGGTGTTGTGAGAAGGTGGATGGGACGAAGCACTGCACCGAGTGAAGGAACTCATGGAAGATCGTGCCCACCGCACACTCCGTTTCGGCATCATGCCCTCCCACCGCAGCCGTGCATACGGATCCCAGTCGGCTATTGGCATCGAGAAGCAGAACTATTTGAGAATTGTCTGGACGCTTGTGCAGGTCATGGGCACGGCAACTCCAAAAATCCCTAGCACTGCAGACGTCAGCTCCATCCACCGACGGTCCGTGTGCCACTAGGATGGTCAGGCTAATCCATGGGGTCACGACCTGTACCTGAAGATGGCGGGGAGAGTAGCTGGTAACCAAGAGTTGATCCTTGGTGACATAGCAGGGACGCCCCTGCTGCCAAGCAATGGCCACTCTGAGATCCAGCCACAGTGCGCAGCCGTAGGACCCATTCGCGGTAGCGCCTGAACAGAGCATCACCGGGTCACTGTCGGGAAGCTGCGCATCTTCGGGAAGCCTTGTTTCCTGAAGACCAAGAGCCCAGAGCCCCTGCGCCTGCATCTGTGCCTTCAGCAGGTCGCGTTTGCCGGAGATCATCATCCCGTAAGCTCCCGCCCGGACTTTCCGTCCTTTGGTAGCTGCTGGATCAAAGAGGGTGAGCACGTTATAAGTGGCAAACTTAAACGTGAAGGAAATGGCAAACTTAAACGTGAAGGAAATGTCACTGGCCGGGTACACCTTGCGCACAACGCCCATGCTGGGGGCGCAAACATCGCCGACTT